AGCTTACCTCCCTGATGTATCTTACCTTGTGGTTGCACAAACGTCCAGGTCAGCACAAGAAAGGTGTGGCAGTGGTCTGCAGGTAGAGCTGATGAGGAAGGAGAAGGAAGTTAGGACTGCTTCAGCCCCAGTTTAGATTGGCTTATGTTGTTATGTAGCTGCATTCCATCTGGAAATCTTGCAGTTACCCCCAAAACCACTTTATGCTCTGCGTGTATAAAATGATATGTACAATACAAATAGCAGTTATTAAAAAAAGATGGCTTGCACTGCTTTGTGAAATAAATACATATCAGCCAATATAATGAAGACAATAAAATAAGTCAAACTTGCTTGGAAAACTCCACAGTGCATCTGAATGTGTAATTGTGTCCCAGTCTGCCAAAGTTCAGAAAGCAAATTTTGGATTTGAAGATATCTCAGAGAGGTCATCCTGGTAACAGCTCCCAGTTGCAGTCAGGTAGGTCCATATGATGAGCAAGTCCTTTCGGGCACTGTGGTTATCACATTTCATATAACAATTTAAACCATCCTCTGTTCCCCTCAGATAACTATATACTCCTACTCTCTGGCCTGTCCCAGCTCCCAGAGTTTAACAAACCATAGTCTGTTTTTTGAACCTCATGCCCTTGTACCTTTAGCTTCATCAATGCTGACCGTCATTACATCCAGCCTAAATCCTTCCCACATCCATGCATTGCCTAAGGTGACAAGGAGGCATCCTGGCTGTCATTGAATGCTTGCCTCTTGTGCTCCTGTCCCTCCTGGCTCAAAGCAAGTACTACAGTCTTCACTTGACAGCCAGAGGGGAGAGAATTTTCAGCAAAAGGGAGAGCAGAAGGCGAGAGAAGGGAAGAGGAGAAAGAGAAGGGGAGAAAAAATGCTGAAAGAAAGTTTTCTGGAATTTCTTTCATCTTTCCCTCCACAGATGCCCTTTGCCTCTCCGCTGCAGTAGCATAACAGTATTGTATGTAAAGAGTGATGTTCTCTCAGGTAATCAGGATCAAAACTCTCTAGAGAGAGGTATGTTAAAAAATAAGTCCTGAATTCCACCTGCAGTGTCGTCAGCACTCAGGCAGATTGCAAAGCCCTACCTTGCTACAGTCTCAATGAGATACTCCATTTCACAGAATCGCAGCGAATTGCTTAGCTTTTGTTTCTTTAGATCCCACTGTGTAGTCCTATGCTGAATGGCAGTCTAATGCTGAAAGGAGAAGGGCAAACAGAGCTGAAAGGAATTATGTCAGAGAAAATGGGTGGTGCTCTTTCCGTTGGGGTTTGCTGAAGAAAAATAGTCCCAGCCGTACTTGCCACGAGAACTACTGCCTAAGATTACTACCTACTGTCTCTTTAGCCTCCGCAGGCTTCCATGCCAAAATGATTTTTACCAGCTCTTGCATCCGATTGTCCCAAAATCCAGCGTTATATCTTTCTTGGCAGATTGGCTGTTAGCTAGTTAGCCCCTATCTTTTATCACCTATTTTATGTATAGAATTTATTTTGGCTTGATAAACAGCTAAGCTATGACAGAAGTTAATCAGCTGTGAGTCTTACCTTTATTTTCATGCCAGTCCATCCCCTTAGGATTCAGCTTAAGGTTCTACTTCTGATCAATATTTTAAAAATAAATCTTAAATAAATCTACAGGAGAATGCAGGAGTTATTTCTTCAACTCTTAATCTCTATCCAAATACAAAAGATGAAAAATTCAGTATAGAAGTGATGAAATGTCTAAATTTTAAAATGTTTCAAATTTTAGTGGGTGTTTTCAGATCCTGCAAGAGATTTATATCAACATAGAAGGGAAATTGCCATTATCTTAATGGCGGTGATATATGGCTTCTAAAAATGGATAGACCATTTTACCTGTTGCCCTATTATAAAAGTTTTTCTTTCTTTTTGTTATGTTAGAGAAAGGAAGTGGTGTCAACTCCAGTTTTTTTAAAGTGGAGTTTTTGATCATCCTTAAGTTGCAAGCAAGCAAAATAAATAAGTTCATTCAGTTTAACAGCACAACATTTAGGGAAGATTGCAATATAACGTCTTCACTTTTAATTCTTTACATTCTGATTGATCTCATTTATTCCTTATGCCATTTCCAAATGGGACAATGATAGCAGAGATTAGGTATGAGGCAGCTTTCCACAGATATGTTTGTTTCTTTTCTTACTCTGTGTTAAAACATCTTTCCGGACAGAGGTTCCAAAATTTACTAGTAAATCATTGATTGTTTTGTGCGTTTTGTGTTTTTGTGAGATAAGATTTCTGGGTAGAAACACCATAGTTAGTATCCTGCAATACATTTTTTACCTGATGTGGTATGTGGAGTCTTCTTCTGTAAATTTTTAAATTTTGTGAGAAGCTTGACTTTGCTCATGTATCAATTCTAAGATATTCAGTTCTTGTTTGGTACTGCTTGCAGTTCTTTATAATTAATATTACATTATTATTAGTTAATGTTAATGCAGAATGTCACATCTTTGTGCTGGATGATTTGTATTCCTACCCTAACGATTTTAGTTTCTGGATAGACAAGTTGGAAAAGTGGTAGAAGGGAGAGCTTACCTAAAATCTTGCTGTAAGTCAGTAGTACATGGGTCTTTGATCCATGCTGTAAGCTCTATGCTGTCCAGTGAATTTTGTTTCTTCTTCAGTTTAGCTACTTGAGCTGCAGGGCAAACGTAATAGCAAACAGAGTAGCAGCCTCTTCTCTTCTGTAAATTGTAGAAGTGATGAGGGAGAATAGACAGAACACCAAATGTACTTTGATCCAATATAGCAAGCTGACCAAAAAAATAAAAAGGTACCTGTAATCCAAATTCCTCTTTGTAGGGTCTAGAAGGAATATTAATAAATATGTCCATGCATTGATACAGAGGAAACTTTCTGATGCGTGTGTGAAATGTTGGGATTTTAATTCATGCATTTCACAGAAGGGACTTGGGTTGCATACTCTTGTCTGAACAAAGTTACTTTTGTCTTGTTTTGTTTTTCTTGTGCTTAGTAAGGGCTTCTTCATACAACATTCCAGTGCATAAGTCTCAATATATGCTTACTTCACAAACCCAAAGATCTATTTCCCGATGCACAGTGCCATTTATTTTTGCTATCATCAAGATAACAGAAAGATCTGGGTATATTCCTTTGGCACATCTGGTAGATAAGGATAGAATTAATTAACACATTTTTTTCCTCAAAAAATGATATACCATTCTATGACAGCAAAAAGTCTTTGTTCCTGATGTCAGTCATTCACTTTCCACTGGTTTAGAAGGCATCCCTGAAGGAATTTTAATTGATCTGCACTTATCCAAAATACAGCAAAAACACTGCTCTATCCTAGACATGAAAGGAAAAGAGGAGATATTGGAATACAAAGTGTATGATTTTTAAGATTTGCTTTGAGGGGAAACTTGGGACATAGACATACTGACCGGCATTTATTGAAGTTTTGAACGTCATGGAAACACATGGTTGAAGTTCCAGATTCTAACACATGAAACTAGTAAACCACTTCAAAAGCAGAACTTTGCTTTTTAGCCCTCTGTCCCAGCTGCTTTTGAACTGTGGACTGGGGAGATGAAGGCTTCAAAATACTGCTTTGCAGTAAAACTTTGCTTCCTCATTTGATTGTTTTCTGTGATGCTATTTTGGGAAAGCCAATTTTTTTGGAATATTTTGGAAAAGCCAAGTTTATTAAACATGTGGTAAAATATACAGAACCATGGGATTTTACTTTGCAGTTCAAAAGGATCTAGCCTGTACTAAAGTGCAAGTAAGACTAGACTCCTCGCATATCTCATGCCATAATGGTGTGTGCCTTGTGTGGTGAATATATCAGTGTAGAATGGATGCAAGAATTTGTTTAATTAGCACTATCGTCAATTAACATATAAGGAGACAAGAATGACCATACTGGTTCCAAACAGTGATTGACCTAGGTGCTACTCTGTCTCCACTAGTGGCTTTCTTCCAAGAAAGCATCAACTCTCCCCTTGAATTCTTAAAAACTTGCTGTTATCTACAGGAGCCTTGGGAAGAAGACCACAGGTTGGTTACCCATTTTGTGGAGACCCGTCTCTTGCTTTTTGTTTCAGGCCTGATTTTTACTAGACGGTTCTTGAGTTCCAAGAGACAGCTGATCCAGCAGCTGACCTCTGTTCAACCTCTCCATCATATCCAGGCCTTTGTAGTCTTCTATCATATCTTCCCCTAAGTTGTCTCTTTTCCAGCCTGGATAGTCATGGCCTATTGAATGGTTCCTCTCATTCTAAGCCTTTGATTATGTATGCTTTCCTTCTCTGAACCTTTTCTAGTTCTGTTGTGTTCTTTTTTTGAGAGAGAGTTGCCTGAACTGGCCATGGAGTGTTCACAATGGGGATTGGTACAGTGGTAAAGGGTATTTTATATTTTGTTCTTTACTCCTTTGCCAGTTATTTCTAACGTTTGATTTTCTGTTTTGACTGTGACTGAGTGGTGAGTTAGGTTTTCATAGGACTATCAAAAACCCAAGGTTTACTCTCTGAGTAATAAGATGTAGTGCAATAGAGAACTGTGTTGTGTAGTAGAGAATTAAAATTAGAGTATTTATTAATAATGGGTAACAAAATTTCCTGCAAAATGAACCTGTGTTCAGCAAAATTTTGATTGCATGCATGAACCCTGCCAAAAGTTATTCAGAATTTCTTGATGTTAAAAAATAAATCATTGATAGTAGGAAATTATCTTTTAATTTGTACACTTAGACTTTTCAAACTAATTTAATATTGTTGTTATGAATCACAGGAGGTGACTGCTTTAGATGCTTGATATTAAAGAAAGATGTAAAAAATGTGTGATTTCTTGTAAGGTATGCAGTGCATGTATGCAAAAACATTGCCCTCTAAATGTACTTAAGTTGTGTTGTAAAAAAGTGATTGTAATACCTTGCTCTGGAACACAAAAAGAAAGGCTTGTACTTACTGCCTTTTTTTTTCCTTTTTACCCTTAGGCAATTTTAAGTGAAAGTTAAGGACCTTCTGTCCTTAACCTGCCATAAAAGTGAAAGACACTTCTGGAAGGAGGACCAGTTTGAGCAAGAGGACAGTCCCTTCCTACAACACAAGAAGGTGACTAGGTGACTCCAAAGAAATGTAAGTGATTTATAATGGAGCTGTGGTTGTGACTATTTCTACAATGGACTTAATGTGCTTATAGGAGGAATATATACCACGTCATTGAATTATAGTGCTTAAAAGTGTAAAATATGATTTATGAAAAAATTACAGAGCATACAGAAAATGCATACTCCTATGCTTGTGCAATGGTAAGCTATACTACAAGTTTTTTCCTGTACAGCAAAAAAAATCTCTTTTTTTAGGAAAATAAAGTGCTGAATAGAATCATAAACATGTTTTTCCACCATTTGGTACTCATATGCATCTGTGTTAATTTAGATATGTAGAAACGAAGTATCTGAATGTAAGTTAGTTATCCTGGGTTCTGCTTATACTCAGGAGAAAAATAGGCTTCTCCAGAGGCTGATTCATTCCATCCTAAAATTAATCCCTAGGATAGCTCGTGTCTCTCCATTGACAGCTTAGTTTTAGACTCAGTGTTCAATGAGCACTTCCAACTGGTTCACCTGGGTGAGAAGCAGTTCCAGCTTCTTTCCCCCCTCCCCTTTCTGCCGGTCTCCCTCAGCGTGTGTTGCTGTGTGTGTGGATGTGTGGCAAATACATTTGGAGAATGGATCTCGCTGATCCGTTTGTTTATATGGTTTTGTTTGCAGCTGGATTTATCCCAGCCTTGTGCTGCCCAAGTGCCTTGGCTGGTACAGAGAGTAATGACGGTGGGAATTAGCAGCTAAATGTGGCGTGGCAAGGTAGCTTCTTTGGTGGAAATGCTGATTTGTGCAGCCTGAAGTGTTTGGTAGGATATAGTCTTAAGGCATCTAACTTGCAGATGTTTTCAGTGTGCTGGTGTTCATGAGAAGAAATTTGAGTGAACCACCTTAATTATTGTTTAGTGAGGAGCTACTGCTTTGTTGTATACTTCACTGTGGTAATACAGGGTTTTTTACTTTCTTTGTAAGGTAGAATTCAGATCTCCAAAACCAGGAAATGGTCACAAATGAACAGTAAACAAATAGATGCTTTACAGTAATTTATAATAAAGACACAATGCTATATAATCCATAGCTATTTCTGAATTTTAAAATCACTAGCCTGATTTGGTATAGCACCAAACATGTTCTGCAGATTGGTGATATATGATTGAACTAATTTAGACACAGGATCTTTTCCTCATCAGAACAGTAAAATACAACGTAACATTTCGTTCTAATATTAAATACTTAATGGAAGTTATAAAGAAGACAGAGCCAGGCTTTTCTCAGTGGTGCCCAGTGACAGGAAGAGGAGCAGTGAGCACAAATTGAAATACAGGTAATTCTGCTTAAACTTAAGAAGAAACTTGTTTATTGTAATGGTGGTCAGACACTGGAACAGGTTGCCGGAAGAGGTTGTGGAGTCTCCATCCTTGGAAATACTCAGAACTCGACTGGACACTTCCCTGAGCAGTCTCCCTGGGTGAACCTATTTTGAGCAGGAGGGTTGGACTGGACAGTCTCCAGAGATGCCTTCCAACTTCAGCCATTTTGTGATTCTGTGAATATTTATAGGAAAGCAAGATTAGAAGAGGTACTGGTATTTTATTTTGTGATATTTTAAAATTTCTTTTTTTTTTTGGCCTTTTTTCCTTCTTGCATATATTTAGCTATTCAGTTTGAGCTTTTACTTAAGGTTTGGCAAAAATTGAGAGACTGCGGAAGTTGAGAGTTTTCTAAAATGTGTAAATCATATTTAAATACTTGTGGATATAACTAAGGATCGCATTGAAATCTATGAAAATAATTTTAGGTGCAAAGTAGCACCACAGTTAGAAGGACGTTAAAAGACACGGTCTGGATTTTAGGTGTTTAAGATGAGAGTCGTTTTCATTTGATCCACTGAAAGGAAGATATATTCTTAATACTCTTTATGTTTTAAAAAAAGACAAAACCGGAGGAAGACTTCCACAATAGAACCAGATATCTTCCTGAAGCCTCGTCAGAGGGCAGTGAGACCTGTAAAGCAGCCTAACACTTTCCATTGCAAGATCTGTTTGCAGGTGCACGTGGCCAGCGTGGGACAGACAATAACCTAAAATGAATGCCTATGGAAACATATAAAACTGGGTAAATTTACCGTGATACTTCCCAGTATGTTCTTCCGTCTCCTGGGGGATTTTTATTCAGGATCTTCCTTGCGTTTTGAAATAATTGGAAAAAAGGAATTAGCTCTTCAAATTTCAGCTTTATTACATTTCACCTTTGATTAGTTTAGCAGAAGTTTGCAGTCCATAGCTGTGCTATAGGCTGAATCTCTGTTTAAAAGCTTCTGTGAAATTGTTGTATCATTTCTCAGAATGTAAAAAAAAAAATTATCAGTTCTGAAAAAAGTCTCAGAAATCTTTGCTTTGTTTTTAAGCAAGGACTTGAAATTTAATGAGGAGCTTCAATGGGTTATAAGATGTGCCTTTTACCATGCCTCTGACTGTCTGTCCTTACTGCACTGCTTTTGAAAATATCTGCTTGCTCATATTCAGAAGAAGCATATGAGTTTGTCAGCATATTCTCAAAATATTCTCTGTACATTCTTAAGCTCCCAGAAATAATTGTGTGTCCTGGCCTGGAGATCAAACACTATGTTATGTTTCAAATGCACAGATCCCCAGTTATTTTCAGAAAAGGCTCTTGTTTTTTAAATTTTCTGGGGCAATGAATTTTGATTCTGTGCTTGTTGCGAATGCCGTTTTTGTACATCTTCTGCTTACTTTCCCAGTGCACTCTTTGAGTGTGATGTCGAGAGTGGGATTGATTTTCCCTGAATTGAGCCATCCAAAAGGTTAGTTGTTGTAAGTCTGGGCTAGTCACTATAGGCTTCTTCTCCAGTCAGTGAAGAGAGATAGGCACTTCCAGAGGGAAGATCCACATAGGCTTTTCTTATATCTGTCTTTGGATGAGATGAATCATCCTTTCGAGATGCCTTTTTCTTGTCACTGACAATAGAAGGAGCCTGAGGTAACCAGCACAAATTTAGACATCTAACTTTTCTATTAAATATTAAGGCGGATAAACTCTATCTCAAGTGTTGGAACGTGAGATTTAAGACACAGGAATGTTACCACTGACATTGACAAAAATGTCCTGCTGACAGATGAATAAACAAAATTCTTTTTGAAATTATGATGATGCATTTAAGCTTATTAGAAGGACATTTTCTATGTTGCTTAAACATTGTATGTAGCCATTAAGAAAATGTTTTCCAAATGTCATAACTATGAAATAAATCTCAATAGGTAATTTTGGGTTTTTTCTTTTTATATTTTGTCTCTAGGTTGAGAAATGATAATGTTTTAATTTTACATGGTTACCTAGTATCTTAGTAAGATAATAAAACAAAAATGAAGTTGTATCATGAGATTTTAACGTTGTTAGTTTAATAGCGCTCACAATAAAAGACAATCAGAAAGTCTAGTGTTAATATAACACATGTGCTTTTAGCGAATTTTTCGAAATTAAGTGACTAGATGACTTTTCAATTTGACTGAAAATAAAGATTGCTCTAATGTCAGCTAATATTGATAATATTTGTATTCCAGTAAATGTGGTTGTGATTAAATGCTATTTTCTGTTTGTATTGAAATATTTTTCCTGTAATTTAAAATGCTGTCTATATTTTGACTGTATCACGTAGCGTACGATGATAACACACCAGTTTCATCTGTTTTTAGTTTTTATGGATCAGGACTGTATGTTAAGAGAACTTTCTTGCAATGGAATAGTTGACTGAGTCTAAAGGCATACGAAGCAAGGTATACTGCTTCATATTTACTTTTTAGTTAAGATACAGGCATATGACAAAGAAATGCTAGCATGACTTATGATTATATATGTCTTTTTTAGCCAATTTCCGTGTACTTAAATGATTACCTTGGACAGCTAGACTTACCTAAATTATTCATATGAGCTTTTAACATCTCTGTTCTTAAACTACGGACAGTAATAAATGTGCCTTAAATATGATGTTAGTATTACACTCATCCTGTTGTAGAATTGCTAATGGTATTGCTAATTGTAAGCAGTGTTACTGTACCTCCTCCTATGGTTGATTGATTAGCATTATTGGGGTGGGCTAAATTATTTTTTCATTTTCAATTAATGTTTTGAATATTCTTTGTTTCTGGGATGTTTCTTTGGTTTAGTTTCTGTCTTTTCTTTGTTATTTATAATTGAAGTATTACATAGTAGCAAGATGCATATGTAGCAGTGAAAAACCACAAAGACTTCCTGATTCCTGGAATTTTTATTCCAGCTGAAGAAATTATTTTTAATTAAAGGAATAGTTGCTATCTCTTTCTCAGAGCAAATCGGCTTAGAGAAAGCAGTCAGAGAAGGGAAGTAACCTTATGTGAATAACTTTCAGACAGGTATCTTCTTTAATTCTTACACACAAAATGACATTCCCCACTGTTTGGATCTCAGTATTAGTAAACTATGTGCTGTGAAAATGATCAAAATATTTGTTTTAGAAATATTGTTATCTCAATACTGCTGACCAAGATTCTCACTGATAAAGAAGCAGAAATTTACTGAGACTGACAAGCTGGCCCTGTGTAGAGTCAATACAGGTTTTATAGGCTTGATTTTTTTTCACCATTGGCTGGCTTTATTTGAGTTGGATTTACAATACTCCTATCCATCTGCTACTTTAAGAATGTTTAGGTTTGAATGGAATTTTACACATTATCACAAAAACCCACCAGAAAGACTCAAGTTCTGATAAAATGTAAAGGGCATGTGGTTATTCTTGCCCAGGTGCCGGACTTGGCATTTCCCTGTGTTGAACTTTTTAATATTCTTGTTTGCCCATTTCTTCAGCCTGTTAAGTTCCCTCTGATTGGCAGCACAACCATCTGGTGTGTCAGCCAGTCCTCCCAGTTTTGTGTCATCTGCAAGCTTACTGAGGGTGCCCTCTGTCCTATAATCCCGGGTCATTAATGAAGATATTAAACAGTATTGGACCCCAGTATTGACCCCTGGGGTAATAGC